TGCATCCTGCTAATTTGCACCCTGCAAGGCAGATGATGGCCCAAGTACTTGGATCCTTGCCACCCATGTGAAAGAGTCCTGGGCTCCAGCTTTCAGCCTGGCCCAGCTGTGGCTATTACAGGCATTTAGGAAATGAACCAATGGATGCAAGATCTCCCTCTGTGTGTCTTTCTCTGCCTTTCAAATAAAATAAAAATACAGTTGTTATCTCATTTGTCAAAAATAAGAATTTGACAAAGGATCCAGGGAAATTCAATACCAGGACTGATTTTTTTTTTCTCCTTCTTGTACAATGCCACACAAGATGGATCCTCAAAGTAGAAAGAACCCCTGATGTGCTACTCCACTGAACAAGCTAGGACTGGTGCTGCATCCTTGAAGTGAAATTTTCTCCATTCCAAACTATTATCTGTTGCAGTTGTCACATTATCACAAAATACTGTTAAAATGTTCTCCTCCTTCCCTCTCATTTTGGCATATATACCCCCATATGTTCTGCTCTTTATTAATCTTACTTCTGTTGCTACTAACTAACCCAAGTAACCTAATGCATCAATATCAGCGCAGGTCCACTTGGTTATGGTTTGCCAGCCAATGTATATAACCAGCCTATTGCCATCAATCAAGGGATCTCTGAAAGTGAAAGGCAGACAGCGAGAAGTCCTCGCTGGTTATAGCAAAAGTAATGATACAATGGAGAGACAACTCATTCAGAGGCTTTAAGGGACTCATCTTTCAGTGTGACTTTTTCTTTTTTTCTTTTTTTTTTTTTTTTTGCCAGGCAGAGTTAGACAGTGAGAGAGAGACAGAGAGAGATTTATAGACAGTGAGAGAGAGAGACAGAGAGAAAGGTCTTCCTTCCGTTGGTTCACCCCCCAAATGGCCACTACGGCCAGCACGCTGCGGCGATCCGAAGCCAGGAGCCAGGTGCTTCCTCCTGGTCTCCCATGCGGGTGCAGGGCACAAGGACTTGGGCCATCCTCAACTGCCTTCCCGGGCCACGGCAGAGAGCTGCACTGGAAGAGGAGCAACCGGGACAGAATCCGGCGCCCCAACCGGGACTAGAACCTGGTGTGCCAGCGCCGCAGGCGGAGGATTAGCCTAGTGAGCCATGGCGCCAGCCCAGGTGTGACTTCTTCTGTAAGACACAATTGTCCTAACTAATGCAGGGATCAAATTTGTCAAGAAGATAAAAGCAAAACATAATAAACCAACCCTACAGATAGAAGGTTCCACAATAACATTGACCAACCATCTTACCTACCTGGTAAAATAATAAAATGCTCCACTAAAATGTAGTCTTTTTAAACAGTTTAAAGATTTGTTTCTTCTATAAAAGTATTTTATCTCATAAAATTGGGATGTATTCTCTTTATTTAAAACACCAAAATGCTACCTACAGGTTTTTTTTTTTTAAAGTCTCCAATTCTGTGGGCAATTATATTCCAAGGTTGTCTCAAGTCAGTGTGTGCAGATTGCATGCTAAAATCTTCTCTTAACCTCACAATTGCTCTCATTCCCACAGTGCATCAGTCCACAATCCTTGCTAGTTCTGCTCTCAAATCTCTAATCAAATCCATGCCCTCCACTTCCAACCCACACTGCCTTAATTCAGGCTCTTAGCATCGCCCACACAAACTATTCTAACAGCCTCCGAACTTGTCTCCTTGGTTTAGTAACACCTCCATTCATTTTACTTTTGACATTCACACTAGAGTTATCTTTCTGAAATACATTTCGGATCTTGAGTTTCCTCTGCTAAAAACACCTTAAATAGCTCCCTATCAACTACAGAACAGCATTTGCAGGACACAGGCCTTCAGAATCTGGCCCCAGGGGCAGGCAGTTGGCTCAGCAATTTAAGCCACCTCTAGGACGCCCACATCCCATATTGGAATGCCTGGGTTTGAGTTCTCTGTCTGCTTTCAAGCAAGTATTGTAATGCGCATCCTGGGAAGCAGCTCTCTGCTGCCCAGATACTTGGGTCCCTGCCATCTTCACTGGGAGACTCAGGTGGAGTTCCGGGCTCCTAGATTAGGCCTGCCCCAGCCATGGCTGTTGTGGACATTTGGAAAGTGAACAAGCAAATGGAAGATCGCTGTCTTTTTCTGCCTTTCAAATACAAAGAAGAAGAAAAAAAGCTGGCCTCAATCTATATTTCCCACTTCTTCTCTTCCACTCATCCCGCACTCTAACCAAGAAAACTATAGTTTTTTTGTCAAACAAGGGATAGCTGGTCACACATCATTATGCTTCCTGCATGCTAGTCCTCCCTCCTGCTCTACCTCAAAATTCCTACAGATTCTTCATGATCAAGCTCAAATATCACCTCTTCTGGAAAGATCCTCCAGCTCCATGAGCATAAATCAGCAACTCCAACCTGCTTGGCCCCAGGAGCTCTTGGTGCACACCACTCTTACAACACCTTTGACCCTGTTCTGAAGCAGTCAGGTAAAAATGTGCATGCCGCATGCATAATTTCAAATTTCCTAGAATCCTCATTAGAAACATAACAAGAGGGGTGGTGTTGTGGTGCAGTGCATTAAGCCACCTCTTGGGACGCCCACATCTCGTATCAGAGTGCCACTTCTGATCCAGCTCCCTACTAATGCATCATGGGAGGATGCAGATGATTGCTCAAGTGCTTTGGGCCCCTGTCCAGACCCCTAGGTTTGGTCTAGCTCAGACCTGGTTGTTGCAGGCATGTAGGGAGTAAACCAGCAGATGGAACTAAGCCAGTCACAGAAGGACAAACACTACATGTTCACCTATATGAGGTATCTATAGGTATATAGATACCCAAAAAAGCCAAGAGCAGAATGGTAGTTATCAGGGGCTGAGACAATGGGGGAGGGGAATAAGTATTTGATGAATATAAAGCTTCTGTCATACATGAATCAGTTCTAGAGCTCTTCTGTACAGCATGGTATATATGGGTATAGTTCACATGATTGTGCTGTGCACTTCAAAATCTGTTAAAGAGGGTGTTAGGAAACTGGCAGTTTTGGCCAGGTGGCCTGAGCCAGGCTCCACCCCCATCCTAATGGGATTCGCTGCTCCTGCTTCCCTGCCCGCCCTCGGGCGAAGTTTTAAAAGGGCCTGTTCCTGAACACGTGCTCTCTTGGCCCTTCTCTCCTTCACTCTCTTGGTTCTTCTCTCTTAGCTCTCCTCTCCTGCTCTCTGCTCTCCTCTCTTCTCTGCTCTATGTTCTCTCCTCACTAGCTCCTCTCCTCTGGCTCTCTCTCTTATACTTTCTCTCTCTTTCCCTTCACCGCCCCTTCACTCCGGTCTGTTGGGTGTTCCCCAATAAACCCTTTCCCTTACTCCGGTGTTCGGTGTGTTTTTTCGACGGCTAACATTAATATATAACAGAGGGTAGAACTCATGTTGTCTTTTTTTAAAAAGATGTATTTATTCAAAAGTCAGAGTTACACACACACACACACACACACACAGAGCGAGAGAGAGAGAGAGAGGTCATCCATTCACTGGTTCATTCCCCAATTGGCCATAATAGTTACAGCTGCGCCAATGCAAAGCCAGGAGCCAGGAGCTTCCTCTGGTCTCCCTTGTGGGTGCAGGGGCCCAAGGACTTGGACCATCTTCCACTGCTTTCTCAGGCCATAGCAGAGAGCTGGATCGGAAGTGCAGCAGCCAGGACTCAAACTGGCACCTATATGGGAAGCCGGCACTGCAGGCGGCAGCCTTACCCACTATGCCACAGCACCAGCCCCGTCATGTTGTCTTCTTACCCACACACGAAAAGAGAGAAAAAGAGAGACAGAGAGAGAGGAAAAGTCATAGCAAACAAACAAACAAAGCAAAACAGAAACAAACGTACCACTCTGGCACACAAAGTTAACAGTAGGGGAGAGGCTCAGAGCAGAGGCTATGTGAGAACTCTCTACTCTCTTCCTCGATGTTTCTGTGTACCCAACTGTTCTGAAAAATGTTCTACTTAAAAGAAAAAGAAAAAAACAATGAAACCAAAGTACATTTGATTTGTTACTGACTCCTTCAATAATGAAAATTTCTTCATACATATTAACCCTCCTTTTCTCCTTCCTATAATGCACTCACAGGAATTCTACACAGTGACTACTCCATTTTATGTTTTTGCATTCACTGGTTGTCTTGCCTTCTCTGATTGTATTTCAAGCTCCTGCAGACAGATCATTCCTTGTGCAGTATAACTATCATCACACACAGTGAAATGGTAATAACACAACGCAAGGATCCAACACATGACACATAATCAATTCTCAGATGCCTTCTTTTTTCAGTGAAGCCTTTCCCAATCAATCCCACATGCCCAACCTCTCAACACTCACACTGACACCACTGTCTCTGGACAGCTGGGATCAGCGACCTACTCATGTAAGCAATTTTTTTCTATGTGTGACAATGTGCTTTGTGGGGTTAGTGGGGTTTTAATTTAGTTATTGGAAAAGCAGAGATACAGAAAAATAGAAAGAGATCTCCCATCTGCTGGTTCACTCCACAAATGTCTGGCATAGCCAGGGCTAATCCATGAGACAGTCAGGAGCCAGGAACTCAATTTGGGTCTCCCATGTTTGTCACAGGGACCCAAGTACTTGAGTCATCACCTGCTATCTCCCAGAGCCTGCATTAGCAGGAAGCTGGAATTAGGGGTGGAGCCAGGACTCAAACCCAGGCACTTAGATATGGGATGCTTGCATCCTAATCAGAGTCTTAATGGCTAGGCCAAACACCTGACCCTGATGTGTTTTGTATGAATGATTTTCCCCCAAACCCAAGAATGTAGGGTCCTGTTTCCAGTCTTTGTGACACTACCCACATCATCGCGTAGCACGGTGCTCTCTCAAGAGACCCTTCAGCAGCTATCGCTTCCTGTCCACATCTGCTTGAAGCATCACAGGATGCCTCAATAATACAACAGAAGAGAATTCTGTAAGGGCAGTCTCCCACTAGCCGATCTTTTGATACTTGACTTGGATAAATGAATGCACACATGTAAATTTCCACAAAGGTAATGATGGTAGGTTTATTCTAAAGTTGCTTGTGCAAGAACAAAATAAAGCAAAAATGCCTTAGTGAATCAGTCGCTGGCTTCCTCTAAGTTTATGTTAGTGTTCTCTGTCCTTTGCTTGGATAGCTCTTTGATGCTCTCTATCTCCGCAGGAGTGAACTTCGGGGTTAGGGTCACACTGTCATAATCGAATTCTTCATCGAGACAGAAAGTTTGAACTTCATCTCCTTCATCAAGCGAGGAGGACTGAACTTCAGCTCTGGGTATCTACAAAAGGTAACAGAAGAGGAAAAAATAAATACAATCATTGTAAGCGAAAATAAAGTAGACAACATAAACTCTCCATTAATATTTAATTAAACAGTTTTTTTAGATTTCAGCACCCTCAGCTGATTAAGTTGCTTTTAAGTAAAGAAATAAATTCAATTATTCAATCTGACCTAATTTAAGCCTCTTAATATGCCCCATTTGTACTCTGCTGTATCTGAATGAGTATCATTAGCTAATTCTGCCCCAGGCAAGAATCAGAAACTCTCCCCTACACACATTCATTGCATTTTTTCACCACTTAAAATGTCAAACCTAGAGACATATAGAAAAGTTAAGAGTTATATTAAAATGTGAGAAAATACACCTTGAGATTTAGATCCACTTTAAATACATTTTTACCATTTACTAAAAACAGATCTGCATTAATAAAACACAATTTTCTAAGATAAAAATACTCTATACTTAATATACTCCTTCAGATAATACCTGTATTTCTGGGTAATAACAACAGGGATTAAACTACATAGCATCAGGGCCGGTGCTATGGTGTAGCACTTAAAGCCGCCACCTGCAGTGCTGGCATCCCATGTGAGCACCGGTTTGAGTTCTGGCTGCTCCACATCCAACCCAGCTCTCTGCTGTGGCCTGGGAAAGCGGTAGAAGATGGCACAAGCCTTGGGCCCCTGCACCCACAGGGGAGACCCAGAAAAAGCTCCTGGCTCCTGGCTTTGGATCAGTACAGCTCCATCCATTGTGGCCATCTGGGGAGTGAACCAGTGGATGGCAGACCTCTCTCTCTCTCTCTCTCTCTCTCTCTCTTTGTCTCTCTCTCATTGTCTGCATCTGCCTCTCTGTAACTCTTCCTTTCAAATAAATAAATAAAAGTACATAGCATCATCTTGCACTTGGAATCCAAGATCCCTGCCAAAAAAAATTATAGTTTATGTACAAGTCAGAGTAACTACAAAATGATACAATAATTTAGTAGGTATTTATTTATAATGTGTGAGTTTTAAAGATTTCCTAAAGGAAGGTAGACAAAAAGCATATTTTCCAGTAAACAGAATGCCTTAGATCAAATTGTACCAGTCACTTAAAAGCCTCATCAAAACCAAATAGTGTGTAATTTGATAATATCCAGCACCTCTATGTAGTTCTATAATATACATGGTGACACTGAAAATTGACAACTATGATTTATGCAAGAATGAAAAAAATCTTTAATATAAAATCAGTTTTAAACATTCTTGCAGGTGGCTTTCGCAATGTTTATAAAAATGTAGCATACACTTGAGAAATTACAGGCCAGTATTAACAGTGAAAAAGAAATCAAGAAAAGTAGGTATCTCCTATCTGTTTGGCAAATCATACTTATAGTTATGTGTGCAGCGCTAATAGTAAACACCCAGTCATTTTTCTTCCTTTCGTAATAAAACCAGCCAGAGAACAGATCTCAGAGGCCTATTCATTTCCTCTTTGGTGGAAAGTGTCTATGTGCTTTCCTGACACAGGCAGAGATGGGAACTGCCATGGAGTGAGTGCCCACTATGAGCCAGCCCTAGGCCTAGGAACCAAGCGGACAATAGCAGTAATCTTCAATCTGCCCAGCAGTCATAGTTAGCCCCTGTTTTACAGAGCTCTGGAAGGTCATAAGTAACTGCCAAGGGGTACATGATTACCAAGGAAGAGAAACAACATTGGAATTCAGCACCATGTGCTTCTGATAAAGCTTTACCTGTTCCACAAAAGCACCAGCAAAGGAAAAATCAACCTTGAAGTTCGCAGTAAGCCTAGCCATAGCTCTTGGGAAGAAAAGATGTTTTCTGAGGAAGCTGAACAATTCCCATAGCTTACCATTAAAAGAAAAAAAAAGCATACTCAAGGCTACATGTAGTACATTTACTGTCTTTAAAAGAGCAGCTGTACACAGGAAGCAAATCAGCCTGCAGAGTGACTGGTCTGTCCATTCTGATCACTTTCTAGGATTAAATTTATCATCACCGCAGCCAAAGTGACAGTGGGGTAATACTGCTAACACCAACTCAAATGAAGAAACACACACAAATGACACATGATGTTCATTTCCTGAATAGAAGCATCTGTGCCATCCTCAACTCCACTCAGCATTAAATACTAGGGCCTGCAGGCTTGGCCACAACCCCATCCTGAGTTGATTCTAACTGATCCTGGCAGAGTACAAGGAGGAGCCCCCACCTCCACCTGTGAAGTCTGATGGGATTTTTACTGCCCTTTCATGCCATGTCATCACCATGCCTACAAGATTCAGGCTGCCACACCAATGCATGCCTACTGCACTAGGACCCTGGCCTCTAACACCTGCCTAGACCCTACTAGCCATTCTCATGTAGCCACTGCCTTCATCCACTTCTCACTTAGGCTGGGATGCAGTTATAAATTAGGCAAATCTCCTCTGCTGTGCTAAAATCCCAATGATACTATCTCATGCCCCCACCACCACCACCCTCCTTCTACACAGCACAAACAGCCCTCATATTCCTACACTGTTTTCCTTTACTTGTTCACTCAATAAACAATAAAGTATTAGATACTGGGAACACAAAACAAATATTGCAAAATCTGTGTGTACAATGTTTCAAAACTTCCAGCAGAAGACAGAATTAAACAAATGATTTCTATCATATGCCATGTTCCTCAATAGAGCAAAACAAAAGGGAAATGGAGGCATGGAGGGGAACAGGAAGTGAAAAAAAAAAATGACTTTCAACTGAATATTGCCTCTCTCTGACCAGCCTTCCCTGACATCACCTCCATTTACTACCCCCCTGGTTTTAGCAACCCAGATTAAGTAAACCTTGCATTCTGGACTTGTCAACTCTGAAAAGGGTTAACTCCGATGGCTAAGTTAGTATCACCTAAATATGGCTGAACTCATTGCCTTCTTACCCTTTCCCTCTCCTGAGGTCCCAATATACCTGTGGCTATCATACCCAACACTATGGTCCTAGAGATAGAAATTCATCCTTAAATGTAAAAAAAAAAAAAAGTATTTCCCTCTTTTTTTCTTCATATACTTGAATATTTCTCTGTTTTGGAACATGATTTTCTTCATCAGTAACTTGGTATTAACCACAACAATTGCAAAGAATAAAGTTTTCAGTCATCCAATAAATATAATGCCAACACAAAGATTACTCACTTATAAATACACAATATAATACATACAAAATAAATAGTTAAATATATAGCTGCCTTCATTTAGAAACTAAGAGCTATTAACAGCAGCTATTGTTGTATTAATTTCCTAGGCATTTTCAGGGAATTAAATACTGAAACAGAAAAGCAAGAAACCAAAAGCAGAAATAATTTCACATGTGCAGTGCCAGAACAGGCTACTGAGGCTATCTTAAAACTTTTGAGGGCTGCGATGCAATGTGGCCAGTACATCCTAGAGTCGAAATGTCAACACGATAGCCTCACACAGTCATTGAGGTATGCTCTGTTCCTTTCCCAAACCTCTGTATTCCTATTAAATTCTAGGCATTGTAGTAGGTGCTAGGGATACAAAGATGAAGACCTTATATGAAGACACACATATAAGATAAACATATCACTATAGTAAAATGTGGTAAGTACAAACGATATAGAGAAGAAGTAATGGGAATAGAAACGGTGTATCAAACCCCCAGACCAGGCTGAGGGTATTGAGAAGGAATCAGAGAAGGCTTCTTGGAAGAGGTGATATCTAGGCAAAAACCATAAACCTAGTTATGAACGTTATTTCATATTCCCGGGTAACATCAGGCATATTAGTTAATACAGTTAAGGAAGAAGAGCCTTGCAGAAAGGGGGAGTGTGCTGGGCAGGCTTAAGAAAGAAGATACAGAGTTTCAGATCTGTGAGTCGGCAAATGTGCAGAGAGTGGCAAGGGAAGACCATGGCGCCGAATCATCCTGGAGACGATAAGAAGTCCATTAAGAATTTTTCAAGAGCAGAGCAGACATGGACAATCATCCATACATTTCATATAAATTCCTTCACTCATTCAAATTTTTACTGAGCACCTACAATCAAGCAGGTACTAGACTACAAAGGAGAGAGACATCTGCCCTCTCTCTTGGAGCAGTATCTAGACAGGCCACTTTGAAGATGAGACAGAGGGCAGATTTGCAAGGAATGAACCTGGAGCAGAAGACTACTCAGAATCCCGCTGAGGAAGGGCAGGCAAGAGATAATGAGAGCAGGGCACTGGAAGGAGAGATCTAAAAAATATTTACACAGTAAAACTGGCAGTGCTATGAGAATGGAAGAAGAGGGAGAACACAGAAGGGCAAGCAAAGATGAGCTTGGCTTTTACAGCGTTGCATTTGTCAGTAACCTGAAGGAAATAATGGAGGAGTCAACAGGCAGCTAAATCTACAAAGTTCAAGTTCAGGAGAAAGGAGGCTGTGAAGCTAGAGATACCAGTTTGGAGAAACAGGCATAAAAGGTAGTACCTTGGGCCGGCGCTGTGGCTCAATAGGCTAATCCTCCACCTTGCGGCGCCGGCACACCGGGTTCTAGTCCCGGTTGGGGCGCCGGATTCTGTCCCGGTTGCCCCTCTTCCAGGCCAGCTCTCTGCTATGGCCAGGGAGTGCAGTGGAGGATGGCCCAGGTGCTTGGGCCCTGCACCCCATGGGAGACCAGGAAAGAACCTGGCTCCTGCTCCTGCAATCGACACACACAGGTGCGCAGCTGCAGCGCCGGCCATTGAAGGGTGAACCAACGGCAAAAAGGAAAGACTTTCTCTCTCTGTCTCTCTCTCACTGTCCAACTCATGCCTGTCGGAAACAAAAACAAAAAAGAAAAAAACTACCACTAAAACTAATGGTAGTACCTTAAAGATGAAAATGGATCTAGAGACTAATTGAAAGATGAAAATGGATCCGTGTATGTTGGATGGCAGGATCCACAGGTTGAGCAAGAAACCCTGGTGAATGCCAACTCCTTAGGGATGGTTGGAAGGAAAAATCCCCAAA